TGGTGATGTTACCAGAACTGGCCACTAGTGGGAACCAGAGAGTATGCTATATGTGTATATAGATTTCCATGCGGTCATTACCAAAACCAGACACTAGGTGGAGCTGGAAACCATGCTGTGTATAGCATTGGCTATTGAAATAGCATTCCGCATTTTTTCTCTGTTTGTGGGAGTGGGTGGGGCTTGGAGCCGATCTCCTGTGGATACAGGGATCCTACTGTACTGGTTTGTTGTCACGGCCAGTTAGAAACAATTCAAGGAGTAGGATGGGTCCTTAAACGGGCTCCCAACAAGTGGCTCCAGTTTTCTCCTCTTTCTCTGCTGTGACCTGATGGAGTGGTGGCTGCCGCATAACGGTTCGCAGTGTGTTCCAGATGCCGTGTGTGTGTCTGTGTTTCACGTGTGCCTTGCACGTATGGTTTCTGGGTGCCTTGAGGCTCAGCCTCTTGCGTCGTGTATGGGGTAGAAATTAGTGGCAGAGGCTAATTTCTACTTTCTATAGGGGAAAGATGAAGGCACCTGGCCAACAGGTTCCCTGTGCTCATAAACTGCCCGTCTGCCTCTCAGAAGCAAGTGTATGAAAGAGGCATCTTGCCCCTGTGGTCTAACCCCAGGATTGCATTCAGAGGTAGAATGGTCTTGTATAAGGAGGTTCCATTAAACATGTAGCTTGTTGATGGATGGATGTTCTTTGCATAGCTATGAATTAAAAGGTGTCCTGAGCCAACACAGGTGAAAAATATACTGCAGAATTAAGTTTCTTTTAGTCAAAATTATAACCCTGTGTGGGGTTCTATAGATGTTTTTGGAAGTGCTGTAATGTGGATTGCTTCCCCCCCCCCGTAGGACAGTGGTTCCTGGCCTTCGGTTCCCCAGATGTTGTTGGACTGCAGCCCCCAGAAATCCTGGCCATCGGGGGCTTCTGAGCGTTTTGGTCCAAGAAGATCTGGGGACCCAAGGACGGGAACCACTGCTGTCAGACTATGAACCATAGCGGTTCTTCTGTTCTGTCCAGTTGTTTCTCACTTCCAGTGGCTTTCAAATTATGTGGGATGTCCAAGGAAGGGTTTACCATGGTCCCCTTTCTCCCCCGTGAGTTTCTGCAGCCAAACGGGGATTTGAACCCACGTCTCCTTAGTCCTGGTTCACGACTTTCCACTACAAACTTACAGCCTTTCCATAATTCTACGAATACAATTCGCGTTGGTTGGGTGTCACTTATTTTCCCAAAAATGATGCACGAATGTATGGATGCTGAGAACAGATGGGTGGGGGGAAATGCTAACGTCCGGTTTAACCCTTGCCAGTAGTTCGCCCGTCGAGGAGTTGCTTCTTTGGGGCAAGATCCTGTGCCACCTGGTGACTATCTTGACCCAGCCGCTACTTTCTCTCAAAACTTACTTCTTAGATTTAGGTTGTCCAGGTCTTGGTTCCAGAGTAGAGAGCATTTTGCAATTTGATGTGGCCAAAACCAGTTTCGGAAGAGAGGTCCCGCTGGACCATCTTCCGGGGGCAGGATCTTGGGAAGTGGAGTAGGGCCCTTCAGAAACCCCCCAAAGGGACCCAGATTCGACTTTGGGACTCGGAAGTTCTCCAGCCCAAAGTAGCTCCCGCACGTCCAGCCGCAAGGATGAATTTGAGTGAGAAAATTTGATTGATTCATTCGGACTCTTGGCGTTCCTCTTCCCCTGTTTGCTGTTCTGAGTGGCATCTGATGTTGATTCTCCCAAGGTCACGCAGGAACAGGCTATGGCCGATCCCCGCTAGCCATTGGAGGGATGGCCACCGGGAATGTCCTTCCGAATCCCCCCATGGTCCTGATTGAAGGAGCCAACGGGGCGCTAAAGCACGCTCTTGGTTCATGGAGGGTGATGGGGTTAGGAGGGAGAAGAAGGCAAGGGGAAGCCAACGGGGCGCTAAAGCACGCTCTTGGGGGACGTTCATGGAGGGTGATGGGGTCACGAGGGAGAAGAAGGCAAGGGGGTTGGCTTTTCATGCAGTTCTTCTCCATCTTTCTCCCTTTTTTTCTTCTTCTTCCGGCAGCTGATAGTCGAAAAGACGACTGATTATCCTACAGCAGAGTACTCGCTAGTGGAGGATGTAGCGCTACACTTCACGTGTTTGATGGACAGACTGAATGAGCAGCGCCTGTTTCAGCCCGACTTGTGCGACGTGGACATCGTCCTGGCCCAACAGAAGAGCGTCTTCCCGGCCCACAAGGGAGTCCTCGCCGCCTACAGCCCTTTCTTCCACTCCCTCTTCACCCGAAACAAGCAGCTTCAGCGGGTGGAGCTCTCCCTGGAGGCCCTCACCTGCCGAGGGCTCCAGCAGATCCTGAACTTCATCTACACCTCCAAGCTCTTGGTCAATGGGTCCAACCTGCAGGACGTCCTGAACGCGGCCGCCGTCTTGCAGATGACCAACATCGCCTCCTCCTGCCAGGACCTCATCCAGACCCGGTCTCTCAGCTTGGCCATGGCCAGCAATATGGCGCTGCCGCCGGACGGCTGTGGGAAAAACGTCCCGTCTCAGTACTACTGTGACATCAAGCAAGAGGTGGACCCTCCTCACCCCAAGATCTACGCTCGGGAAGGGAATGACCCCTTTTCGGTGCGGGTGGAGGACGGTACAGCTCACGGAGTTGGGCAGAACCTCCCGGCCGTAGCCGGCAAGAAGTATTACAAGGAGGAGAAAGAGTCCGGCCTGCCCATGTGCAAAGTGGAAGGGGAGGAACCGGAGGTGGACCTGGGGAGCCGAGGCTCCTACAACCGGGGCGAGCAGATCATTGTGGAAGTCAACCTCAACAACCAGACGCTCAACGTCTCAAAGGGGATGGAGGGGAAAAACGCGGCCAGCGACCCAACGGCTGCCCTCGCCACGGTGATCGGGAGGCCCGAAGAAGGAGGACGCGGTGTCGAGGAAGAAGGAGAGGAAGCAAACGGGGAAGGAGAGGAGGAAGAGGAGGCTGACGCCAGGGAGGAAGAGGAGGAGGAGGACGAGGAAGAAGAGCACACGGAAGAGGAGGATGTCGAAGAGACCACTGAGGAAGAGGAGGAAGAGGAGGACGATGGGGAGGGAGCGGTGGCCGAGACTCCACGGGAGACGTCGGGCCCGGGCGGCAAGTCCCCCGCGGTTCCCAAGGCGGCCGTGTCCGCCCAGTCCCACGAGGCTCCCGCCGTTAATGTGACGGTGGAAGAGCTGGAAGGGGCGGCCGAGGGGGAAGAGGACGTTGAGGAGGAAGGGGGAGACCAAAGAGGCCGGAAGCGGAAGAAGGAGCAGGAGAGTCTGGGCCCGAAGGTCAAGCTGGAGGAGAAGCAGCACTACCCCTGCAAGAAATGCCCCCGGGTCTTCAACAACCGCTGGTACCTGGAGAAGCACATGAACGTCACCCACAGCCGCATGCAGATCTGCGACAAGTGCGGCAAGCGGTTTCTCCTGGAGAGTGAGCTGCTCCTGCACCACCAGACGGACTGCGAGAAGAACATCCAGGTGAGGGCTTTTAGCAGGGCGGTAAGTAACGTCTGAGACCCCGAGGGTCCGTTTTCTTCCCACCCTATTGCCTGAACCCGGCAGCCGCTGGGGAAGGAACCTTACGGAAGCGAGCCATTGGGTTGCATGGAATGGGTTTTTTAGGAACCTCTCGTTGAAATCCAGCCTCTGGGCTCTACAAGCCCTTTAGAGCAAGGACAGGCTCACTTTCAAATGGGTGGTCCTGTTTCTGCTGTTGCAAGCTGTTTGAAGCAGGACAAAGGCTTGCTTTTAAATATTTCTTCCTCCCCAGCGGATGGTTACCAGAATTCCAGTGGTGTGATTTTATAAAGAGGTATTTGGGGGTATAAAGAGGTATTTTGCATGCAAAATGCGAGCAGATAAATAGATACCACCTCAGTGGGAAGGTCACACCATTCCGTGTCTAGTCGTGCTGGCCACATGACCACGGAAAATTGTCTTTGGACAAAACGCTAGCTCTATGGGTTGGAAACGGAGATGAGCACTGGCCCCTAGAGTCAAACACGACTGGACAAAAATTGTCAAGGGGAACCTTTACCTTTACCTTATTTTGGGAACAGGGAGAGAGAGTGGGTGCTGTGTGCTTCTGTTCCTGGACTGTACAGCTCCCACCTTTGCTATGGGGGGGTGGTCAGGGGACGCATGGCTCAGCTGAGTTCTCCCTGTGCCCCCACACACACCAGGTCTTCCTTAACAGGGTGGCCTCCAGGGGAGCTGCAGTCCAAGAATGCCTCGGTTACCCAAGACTGGGAAATGCTGGCCTGGAAGACAGATGTTATATAAAATGAAAAAGGGGAAATACTTTGGGTATAGTACAAAAGTCACAACAAGAGTCAGGGTATCATTTCAAAAAATGAAGAGGTTTAATTTCTTAATGAACCGCTTGTGTTTTATAACTGAATGCTGAAAGAAGTGAGAGGGTTTTTTTTGTGTGTGTCACTTAGTGGCCAAAATCGTACTGTGTAATTTATAAGGAAATTTGCACAGACCCCTGAAGAATCCTGGTGGGGTTTTTTACCCGCAAGAAATGAACCAAAACTTAAGAAAATGCTTGCATGATGTGCAGAATGTTGGCCATTGTTGGCTTGGGGGAGAAATTATGGTATTTGTCTAGGGTGGGAGTGCATGAGACGCATACACGAACGGGCCTTTCTCTCTGCCCCCCCCCGTACCCCCAGTAATGCTCGGGTGGTTCTCCCTTGCAGTGCATAACATGCGGGAAAGCCTTCAAGAAGCTCTGGTCGCTCCACGAACACAACAAGATTGTCCACGGCTACGCAGAGAAGAAGTTCTCCTGCGAGATCTGCGAGAAGAAGTTCTACACCATGGCGCATGTGCGCAAGCACATGGTTGGTGAGTGGAGTCCGGGAGCGGGTGCAGCCGGAGGCGGTGCTCTCCAGATGTTTTGGAATACAGTTCCCATCGGCCCCTGCTAGGATGATGACCAGGGAGGGTGGGTCAGGGGAATTGCCAGCCATGTTCTCTGGGAGGGTGTTGGGTCTCCCAGCTTGGCTTGATGGATGCGTGGGGTGGCTGGCAACACATGGCATGTCCGCTACCCAGGACCTGCCATTTTCCCCTGCAATCTGACAGTGGAAGTTTCCAGAAGCTCATTTTCCGAAGGTTTTTTTGGAGGGTAGTGAGACGTGGTGGCGCTGCGGGTTAAACCACAGAAGCCTCTGGGCTGCAAGATCGGAAGACCTGCTGTCGTAAGATCAGATCTACGCAACGGAGGGAGCTCCCGTCGCTCGTCCCAGCTCCTGCCAGCCTAGCGGTTCGAAAGCATGTAAAAATGGGAGTCGATAAATAGGGACCACCTTGGTGGGAAGGTCATGGCGCTCCGTGTCTAGTCGCACTGGCCACATGACCACGGAAAGTGTCTATGGACAAACGCTGGCTCTGTGGCTCGGAGACGGGGATGAGCACCGCGCCCTAGAGACGGACACGACTGGACTTTCCTCTGCCTTCTTTCATGTCATGATCCATGAGAGCATTCTTGGAAATCTAGATGTTTGTGGGAAAAGAGGATTCCCATAGATTCTCCTACACCTCTGCAACGAATCCAGCTTTCTTTTTTGCTGCTGCAAATATATCCTGCAACTCTCTCTCTCGTTCTTGCTTGAGAAGCCACCGGTCCTGGATTTTGCTTTTCTCAGGATGTCATGCTAAAACGTTGTCCGGAGGCTGCCTTCTCTTGGAGGTTCAGCTCCCCATTTCCTTCGCCAGTCTTCCAAAAGCGAAATCTCTGGCCCATAGAGGTGTCTTGGGCCTGGTGCGTGCGTAGTCAGTGCCTGCGCATCGACGCTCGAGATCCCCTCACATGCATAACCCAGCCTGTAGGCAAGCTCATTTTGCAAGAATCGGAACAGCTTGCCCGGGCTATAATCTGGTGCAAATTGGAACAGGTTATAAATCTGATTTAGTTTATAACAGATTATGATCTGTTTATGTAACCTAGTTATGTTACTCCAGCATGTTTTATACTAGCCACTTCTGTGGCTTTTAAAAACTGTGCTAGGTAGCCGGCTGGATTAGGTTCCTGGCTGTGGAGCCAGAGATTGGGGTTCAGTTTCTCTGCTTCGCAGAAGAGTCAGCCTGGGTGGCCTTGGGCCGGCTGCATAGCCCCAAGATACCCCCAGAAGAAGGAAATTGGAAGCCACTTCTGAGTTCTCTCGGCCTGTGAAATTCTGGAAAACTTTGCCAGAGGTCAGAACTGTGTTGACACCACGTGGTTATTATTATAGCCTCATATATACCGCGTTCGTTCAGTTTCTCTGCTTCGCAGAAGAGTCAGCCTGGGTGGCCTTGGGCCGGCTGCATAGCCCCAAGATACCCCCAGAAGAAGGAAATTGGAAGCCACTTCTGAGTTCTCTCGGCCTGTGAAATTCTGGAAAACTTTGCCAGAGGTCAGAACTGTGTTGACACCACGTGGTTATTATTATAGCCTCATATATACCGCGTTCCCCTGAAAACCCCAAGATGCCCCCAGAAGAAGGAAATAGGAAGCCACTTCTGAGTTCTCTGGGCCTGTGAAATTCTGGAAAAGTTTGCCAGAGGTCAGAACTGTCTTGACAGCACAGGGTTATTATTATAGCCTCATACACACCGCGTTTCCCGGAAAATGAGACAGGGTCTTGTATTAATTTTTGCTCCAAAAAACGCATTAGGGCTTATTTTCAGGGGATGATTTATTTTTTCCGTGTACAACCCATCTACATTTATTCAAAGACAGTCATGTCATCTTCTTCTGGTTGCTGCCCAAGGGTGGAAGGCAGGGTTTCACTTATTTTTGGGGTAGGGCTTCTATGACGAGCATCCTGAAAAATCATACTAGGGCTTATTTTCAGGTTAGGTCTTATTTTCGGGGAAACAGGGTCATAGTCTTATTGTACCTTGGGGTGTGGGGGAAACTCTGTGTAGTCTTCATGTTCTCTCCAGATTGCCCCATGGCAGACCTCACAAAGAATGATCTTGCGCATTTTTCCCCATCTTTAGTTTTTAACTTTTAAATCCCCGCACAGAGAAAGCTAGCTTGTCAGGGGGAAAAAGTTCTGAGCAGCTAGTCTTCTAAAGGCACGCATGGAAGGAGATTCATATTGGCGGTCTTCCACAACCACGGTCTGAAACGGTGTGTTCTGCAATTTCACCCCGGGGTTTTTGCTACTCCTGTTGGGAACAGCTTGCCACAGTAACCGTGTTTCCTTGCCTTGCTTTCCAGCACATACCAAGGACATGCCCTTTACCTGCGAGACGTGTGGGAAGTCCTTCAAGCGAAGCATGTCGTTGAAGGTTCACTCGCTCCAGCACTCCGGGGAAAAGCCATTTAAATGTGAGGTGAGAGCAAGTATTTGTTTGGAAATTGCAAGGTGCTTAAGGGGAAGGGTTTCGGCATCATTTGGCTCAGACCCCCTACGCCCTTAGCTTCAACTCAATACTTGAACGGAAGGGGTTACGCCCTTAGCTTCAACTCAATACTTGAATGGAAGAGGTAGAATCTGTTCTCGATCATCCCAGAGCGCAGGAAATGCAACAATAAGCTCAAGTTATAGGAAACCAGATTTAGGCTGAATATCAGGAAAAACTTCTCAACTGTTAGAACAGTACGACAATGGGACCCGTGACCGCAGGGGGAGGTGGTGAGCCCTCCAACGCTGGAGGCATTCAAGAGAAAATTGAACTACCCCCTTTTAGATCTGCTTGGATTTGGATCCCTTCCTTGAGGAGGGGGTTGGATTGGATGGCCTCAGAGGGCCCTTCTGGCTCCACGGGTTGGACTGGATGGCCTCAGGGGCCCCTTCTGGCTCCACAGTTCTTTGATTTTACTCCCTGGTGCGGTCCCGATCCAGTGTGAGGTGTAGCAAGTGAGCTGTTAGCTCTGAGATTCAACTATCGGGAAAAGGAGGAGGAACCAGTGGGTAGACCGTCCCTCATTAGCAGCAGGATAAGGCCCGTGGGTGCTGCGATTGTGGGACCATGGCTGGGGAGAGCATCACCTAGGCCCCAGTCCCTCCTCAGCTGTGAAACTCACGGATGGATCTGGGCTTATTTTCCAGGCCTGCCTCGCAGGGCTGTTTCAAGATGAAATGCAGACGGGTGGGGAAAAAACCACGTTCAGGGCGCCAAGCTCCTTGTGGACAAAACGCGGAGCTGCCTATCTAAACGATCCGGTGGTCTGATCGGTGGTGGGTCCGCGTTCTCCCTTCTTTCAGACGAGCCTTCCACCACCGCCAGCCCTTTTACTTTCCGTCAGGGGTAGTGGCAGGCCTTTGGGCCTGAGTCCCGAGTTCGAGACTGAGTCTTTGCTACCAAATCCCAAGCCCCAAGTCCGAGCCCCTATTAAAAACAAGCTTTAGGAGGGGTGGGTGGGTTCCGAGCCATAAGTCAGGTCTGAGTCACAGGGGGAAAAAAACAACAACACAACAACTTGAAGTTTAGTCTTAAGTCGCTGGTGCAGCTTCAGTCCGACTCGGCCACGCGTCCCGTGACTCAGGTTCCCACCCCTGCCTCCCGTAACAGCATCCTTTCCCGTTCTAGAACTGCAACGAGCGGTTCCAGTACAAGTACCAGCTGCGGTCCCACATGAGCGTCCACATCGGTCACAAGCAGTTCATGTGCCAGTGGTGCGGGAAGGACTTCAACATGAAGCAGTACTTCGACGAGCACATGAAAACACACACCGGTAAGGGGGCTGCCTGCTCGCAGCCCGGACCCTCGTTCCGTCCCCTTGCTTCCCCTTTTTCGTCTGCTCTTTTACTAGAAAGTGGCCCTTGGTTTATAAAAGATGCACGTCGGTTTGGAAATGACCGCCAACATTTTGTGTGTGCATTCTCGAAGGCTTTCACGGCCGGGATCTGATGGTTGTTGTCGGTTTTTTCGGGCTGTTTGGCTGGGAGCCAGGCTGGGAGTGCTGAGAGTCAGGCTTTGTGGAGTTTTAGACTTTCTGAACATGTCCTGAAACTAGCTGGACATGATATCCTATTTCAAAGCACAGAAGTCCTGGAAAACACCAGTAATCATTATGTTAGGCTACACAGGGAAGCCATTGAAATCCACAAACACCAGCAGAGCTTCAACAAAAAAGAAGAAAGTCTAAAACTCAACAAAGCCTGGCTCCCAGCACTGAAAAATACATGCTGCAAGAAGGTCAACGAACTCTCCCCAGCCACAAGGATTGGTGATCACTGCACACACAAGACCAGCTAATGACACCCATCAGTCACAGTGACAGATCATCTCTCCCCCTTATCACAACAATACACACACAACAAAAAAACACGCTGATCACCATAATCACCTAGTCTCCTGAAAAGGACAAAAGCTGATCCCACAGCTATAAATGCTCAACTATCCCACAAATTGCACCAGAGCACAAAGAGAGTTCTGACTCCTGTCCTCTGAAGATGCCGGCCACAGAGACTGGCGAAACATTAGGAAGAAAAACCCACAGAACAGGGGCAAACAGCCCGGAAAACCTACAACAACCATTGTGTGTGTGTGTTCAACTCAAAGATATGACCCAGATATGTATCATCCTTTAAAAGCAAATTGGATAGCAACATTTCAACAGTACTTTAACATTAATTACACAACATTAATTTGGACAGATTAGGTCATCTGAGCCCTCGCTTCCCGTTTAATGCAAAAACAAGCATTTTTAATATTACACATTAATATTTCCAAGCTCATGTATCCTAGTGTGTGCCCCTTAATATGAGGGGCACAGGATTTAAGAAAGCAACACAGTGATACAAGGTTGAAACGATAAGAGTCTTGCCGTTATAGTCTACACTTTATCAGTCCAGATGGTAGATGTGGACAGGCATTATCTTGTCTTCCTAGACAGTCGTGGCCTTTGAATGTTCTTGAATTCTCAAAAACATCCAAGTGTTTGTTTGTTTTAAATTATTGAGAAGTAACATTTGCTTGAGAAAGCAGTTCATGGTAACTACAGGCAGTGGGTTCTTTGAAAGACAGGAGAATCCCCAGCATAGGTGGAGAATAGTTTGACTTAGTCCTGGCAGGAAGCTGGTCTCTCTTCAGGCAGACAAGTACAGTAGGATCTCTATATCCGCAGGATCAGTCTCCGTAGTTTCACTTATCTACAGTCTTAAAATATTAAAAATATTAAAAGAAAGAAACTGGAAATAAGTATTTTCACGATGTATTTTCTGTAACTGGGCATTAGAGGGAGCCAGAGACCATGCGATCTATTTTTGTTGTTGAAGAATCCATAGCATAGTCACTGGCTCCCTCTAGTGACCAGTTCATGTAATACAGGCAAAAATACATATTTCTGGATTTTCCCCTTTTACCATTCTATGTATAGTGTTTCTTATTATCCACGGCTTTCAGCCTCCACGGGGGTGTGTGTGCTTGGACCCAATCCCCCATGGATACAGGAGTCCTACAGTAATGCCACTTGAATTCTGGCAGGCAGAATTAAAGCAGGTGTCAAAACGTGAATTTTTGTATGTATAGTGTCTTGAAACAATTAAGGATTAAAAAAAAAAACCAGTCCTGGAAATGTACTGTACATGGTGCTTTTAAAAATGAGTTAGCACAGCAGCTTTGGTAACCACTCTCGGCCGTTCTGACCCCCTTTTGTCTCTTCCGTAGGGGAAAAGCCATACATCTGTGAGATCTGTGGGAAAAGCTTCACTAGCCGGCCCAACATGAAGCGCCACCGCCGGACACACACAGGAGAGAAACCTTACCCTTGCGACGTTTGTGGGCAGCGCTTCAGGTTCTCCAACATGCTCAAGGCCCACAAAGAGAAGTGTTTCCGGGTCAGCAACCCCGGAGCCTCCGATCCCAGTAACAACAGCGACGCCAGCGCTCTCGCTCTCTCCACGCCTCCGGGCACCGACTCACCTCACTTGACGGCCGGGGCGCCCCTCCACTCCACGCCACATTCCCACCCGCACCCCTTGGCGCTCGTGCACGCTCATGCGCTGAGTGTCCCTCCGCCTCTCTTACCGCCACCGCCTCCTCTCTTTCCAGGCAGCCGCGTGAACTTAAACAACTAGGCCCCCGACCGCTCTATGCCGCATGTGCAGTAAAACCGGACGGTAATTCAGTAAGTGCCCGGAAGGTGTCAGTCACGAATATGGCCGACTGTTGGGGGAAGAGCTTAAAACTTGGTTGGTTGGTTGGTTTTGTTATTTCTCAATGGGCTTCATCGTTCGTTCTTCAGCTCGGGGGGGGGCTGGAGGTCACTGGCCCACGAGCAGGAACATAGCCCGCAAGCCATCTTTCCTCCTCTAATGATGTAGGACACGAAATTAACCTCCTGCTTTGCTCATACCTGGAAGGCTGCAGACCAAGGAGTGAATCTTTGATGTTCTAAGGACACCTCACAATGATTGCTGGTGATCTTCATTCAGGCCGAAACACCCTCTTCGTGACTTCTCATGCCAACAGTCATAGGGGTTTGGAGGGGCAGCAGCTGGGTTTCCTTTAGAGCCAGGAGGTGAGGAGCTTCCATCCAAACCCCTAAAGATTGGGTCATTGCGGCTTCCTTCTTTTAAAAAAATCTTAAGGAGAACAGAGAAATATGAAACCCTCTCCATATAGAGCTAAGAGGAAACAGCAGGTCTTGGTGTGGAAATTCGGGCTTTCTGGGAAAGTCAAGGAACATCTGGATGAATAGCTATGAACATCTGGCTCAATAACAAAGCCATTCACTCCCTTGCACCGGTACTTGGTCTATGTCCTTCTTCAATTCCCACATAGAGATACCAATCTTCCGTGGGGTAATGCACTATAAAAGCAAATCCCTCTAGAATTGTATCTATACTTAGGTTTTCCTTTGCCGGTTGCTATTCAACTGGCTTGGGGGGAAAAAAATAACTGGCCTTTTTTTAAAAAAATGTCGGGAATTTATTATTTTAACCTGTTTTGCACTTTATTAATCCATTATAATAACCCGTCCTCAGCGGGATGCTTGTAAGTTATTCCAGACTCCTTTTGGAGGCTAACGAAACTTTCGGGCGCTCTCAGTTCCCCTCTGTGTCGTTGTGGAGCTGGGCTCCGTTCACTTCTAAGGTGTGTGCGTGCCCTTCTTTGAAACCAAGGGCAGAGCTCAAGCCACAGAAACACAGGGGTGGATTTGCGTGTAAACAGGTCAGTGTGCCTGAACACCATGTGCGTTTTGTCAGATATTTGCTTTAGTGGTGTGGTGGTGGTGGGGAAGAGGTTTCTGCTTTTTTACCACTGAATTCCCTCCTGAAACTTGGTACAGTGGGACTCCTGTATCTGTGGGAGACTGGTTCCAAGCCCCCAGCAGATGCTGAAAACCATGGATAATAGCGAACGCCATACATAGCATGGCAAAAGGAAGGAAAAAATGAATATTTTCAGGTGCATTACCAGAACTGGACACTAGAGGGTGTCAGAGAATGTCCTATGTGTTTCTGCGAAGATTCTCAGTCATCCAGGTGAGGTTACCTGGAAGATGGGTCAGGGCAACTGGATTTCTTTCTTGTTAGGTTGAAATGTTTTGCTCTTCATCCAAGTAGCTTCTTCAATGAAACATTTCAACCTAATGAGAGAGAAGTCCAGTTGCCAGGACTCAACTTCCAGGTAACCTCACCTGGATGACTGAGAATCTTCACAGATATCTTGCTAGGCATTTGGGGGGGCATGACTGAAGAAGCTACTTGGATGAATAGCGAAATGTTTCAATCTAGTAAGAAGCCCAGTGGCCATGACTCAACTTCCAGACAATTCTATGTACATTGGTGCCTCGCATTACAACGTTAATTCGTTCCAGCAAAATCGCTGTAAAACAAAAACATCGTAATGCGAAAATAAAAAGCCAATTGAAACGCATTAAAACCTGTTTAATGTGTTCCAGTGGGCTGGAAACTCACCGTCCAGCAAAGATCCTCCATAGGGCGGCCATTTTCGGTGCCTGTGCAGCGAGGAATCCATCCCAGAAAACAGCGGGGAGCCATTTTATTTACCCAGTGGCCATTTTGAAACTGCCGATCAGCTGGAGGAAAATCATCATTTTGCGAAGAATCGGTTCCCAAAGCAGGGAACCGATCATCGCAAAGCGAAAAAAACCCATTCAGATCATCGTTTTGCAATCGCAATTGTGATCGCAAAAAGATTGTCGTAATGTGGTTTTGTCGTTATGCGGGGCAATTGTAAAGCGAGGCACGACTGTATCCTTCAATAACGTTCCATAGCAGAGGCTCTGGTTCCCTCTAGTGGCCACTTATGGTAATACATGTGAAAAAAATGGCAATCGTAAAGCGAGGCATGACTGTATCCTTCAATAAAGATCCATAGCAGAGGCTCTGGTTACCTCTAGTGGACACTTATGGTAATACATGTGAAAAAAATTTTTTTCTTTTAATATTTTTAATATTTTCATGCTGCGGGTAAGTGAAACCGCAGATACTGATCCCATGGATATAAGCTCTTCATTTTATTTAATATTTTTAATATTTTCAAACTGCAGGTAAGTGAAACTGCAGATACTGATCCCGTGGATATAAGCTCTTCATTTTTAAGCCCAGACCATTTTGCCTCTCTACCGTATGTGTTTTGTGTGTGTTTATGTGAACCGAAGCAGGGCTGGTCCCTGGAAGAACAGCCATAACACGTGGACAAATGAGATAGAGTTGACAGCAAGGTTGTGGCTTGGAGAAAAAAAAGGTCGAGACAGTGCAATAATTGTTAAGCAGTGAGACGTGGCGACAAATGGCACAGAAAACTAGGGGGGGGATGTTGACCTGTTTTAACTTTTGGCTCGCCCAATGAGTATTACTGGAAGGGAGATTTCCCAGTACGACCTTCCGTTACAGCTTTGACAAGAGACTCTAGAAGAATGGTCAGCTTTGGAAGAGGAAAGTTGGTTTTCCTGCCTGGAAACTTGAACAGCACTTTCGGGTGGCGTGGGGCAGGGAAGATTAGGGGGAACCCAAAGAGGAGCAGCGGGGGGATAAAAAGTGACTTGACATGCCTCAAACTAAGTTTCCGAAGACATGATGTTTGCCCATCGGATTGAGTTTTACAGCATTCAGAACTTTCCGTTGCCCGCTGCCCTAAAGACATCAAGAACGAAAAAGAAGACGCTTGTGTATCAGTGACTCTCTTTTAGGGTGAAAAAATTTACCTACAATAAAGCACTTTATTCTGTGCGGGGTTGGGACGAAGTTGGGGGGTAGGATTGGCATCTCGTCTTTTTTTTTTTGTAAACGACATCAATGAGTACAGTATCTTAGGAAACGCTCTAGAAGCTATATTGTGACTTTTCATTTTGACCACCATGTGTGTAATCCACCTATGTTTTTAATTTTTGACTCTCAAGAGAAGCCGTGCTCTGCCATAAACGACCATAACCTCTTTTTCTGTGGTCCAAGTTATAGCCTCAAAGCAGAACACATGGTGGTTTGTCACCTGACGTGCAATTCTGGTTCCTAACACTAGGAATTGCTGCCTTTTCTTCCCTGTTTTGCCCCATAACACTAATGCTGGGGGTGGGGGGGTGGGGGTGGGCTGGCACTTGCTGACAACAACCATATGCAAAGGGTATGCTTAACCCTTCTCTCCTGTGGTTCTCCCTTGCGGTCCCTCCGTATCAGCAGTTTCCTGCTCAGCTGGGACCTGAGAAGGAAATACAGCCAAGGTGTTGACATGAGTTAGCGGTCTAAGGAAGTGGTGATGGTGAAGATGGAGGAGAGGATGATTGGTTGATTCTTGTGTCGACCGATCCTTCCCTTGAAATCTGCCCAACCTCCACGTTGCCGTTCACCAGTTTGTTGGGGTAATGCATCGTACAGCATGGGAACCTTCCAGAGGTCATGTCAACGTGACCAAGAGGTCGACCTGTAGCCAAGAAAGCCTTCCATTGCCAGTGGGTGTCAAGATAATGTCCAAAATCCCTTTCACGTCCTCACTCTCCACTCCGCCGGCACACCATCACTAGTCCTGCTGCTCAGAAGTGGTGCTTTGCTTTTTAAAATAAAATTAAAGTTGGGTTAAATAACTTCAAAGCCATTGGACGACTCGGTTTCTGTTGTGTCTGCTTTGACTGGTGACTAGATTCTTGGTGGGCTCCCAAGACCACAGCCACCCTCACTGGCTTAAAATTGTGGAACCTCATGGAGTGATGTACCATATTTTTTTATTCATAAGACTATACTTTTGTCTAAAATCTTTAGACTGAAAATTGTGGGTCATCTTATATACGGAAGTAAGCTGAGGAGAAAAAAAACAAGTGGAGGGGAAAGCAGGGTTCAAACTGATCCTGCAGGGCTTTGATCCCTGCTTTCCCCTCCACTTGCTAAGCCTTAGCAAAAGGAAAGCAGGGATCAAAGGGCTGTAGGATGGCTTTGATCCCTGCTTTTCCTGCTGTTTACTGTCCCATGGGGCTTAGCAAAAGGAGGGGGAAAGGATCAAAGCAATCCCATGGCTGTGTAAGGGGGAAAGGGATCAAAACGATCATGCAGTCACAAAATTGCTTTGATCCCTTCCCCCTCCTTTTGCTAAGCCCCGCAGGGCTTAGCACAAAGGGAGAAAGCAGGGATCAAAGCGATCCTCCAGCGCTTTGATCCCTTTCCCCCTATATTTACTAAGCCCTACTTAGAATTCTTAATTTTGTGTTAGAAAAATGGGGGGGCGTCTTATACATGGGGGTGTCTTATACTCAGAAAAGTTGGGTACATCTTGCCCTCTCCCAGGAAGAGAAATTCACTCCTGCACTAAGAGAAATGTTTCAGCAGAGTTGTGCTCGTTGCCCTTATCCTGGGGAAATAATAATAATAACCTTGGAACTGCAAAGTCGGAAGGCACCCCATGGATCATTGGGCCCAGCTCTCATCAAGGAGCCCGTCGGAAGGCACCCCATGGATCATTGGGCCAGCTCTCATCAAGGAGGCCCAGTGGGGGAATTGAACTCCCAACCTTTGGCTCCGCAGCCAGAGACCTCAGCCACGGAACTATAACAAATAACCTTTTTTGGAACCATGGGCGTTTGAATCTTGGCAACTGCCTCAAGGAAACCGGATAAAGCCATTGTAGGTCATTGGGGAACTAATTTGAGGAGATGGGTCTTGTAATATAATGTTTGCAAACCAAGATATCCCTAGGACAAATTTGACTTCAGATTATTTATCTAAAATATTTTTATCCCACCTCCTTCAAACAAACCCAAGACGGCTAATTCTAACTTCAGCATAACCGGGGGAACGGAAAAGTGGCTATGTTACAGGGCTGCTGTGCGGGTGGGGAAGAGATGGGGCTGTTTTCAATACCCCAAGACCAGCCAGACTTTTTAATTTTGATCCGTTGACTTGATTTATGCCTGGCAGAATGAATGACAGCTAGACTGGTGGTCAGTGGTATGGTATTAGCATGGACGTGCTTGTGGTGGCTTTCATTCAGAAGAAATAAAGTGATTTGTTATCAAAGATGCTCCAAGAGGAGAAACCTTTGAGAGGCAAGGGACCCTGCATTGGAGGGGGGGAGAGAAACCACAGTGAAATATAGTGTTCATCCACAGCAGGGTATTTTGGATGGAGATCTTATTTATAGTGTTCATCCACAGCAGGGTATTTTAGATGGAGATCTTATTCAAGAATTACCATATTTTTCCATACATAAGACAATACTTTTGTCTAAAATCTTTAGACTAAAAATCGAGGGTTGTCTTATACATGGAAGCCGAGGAGAGAGAAAAACAAGTGGAGGGGAAAGCAGGGATCAAAGCGATCTTACAGCACTTTGTTCCCTTTCCCCCTACACTTGCTAAGCCCCATTTAGATTTCTTAATTTTGGATTAGAAAAGTGAGGGGCACCTTATACATGGGGGCGCCTGATACATGGAAAAATACGGTATTACTTTTGCAGTGAAAGACTTGTGATGTGCCATCAAATTGCCTCCAACTTATGGTGACCCTATGAATGACTGACCCATCAAACGTTCCTCTCATCAACAGCCCTGCTCTTGTAAACTGAGGGCCATGGCTTCTTTTAGGGAGTCACTCCGTCTCATGCTGGGTCTTCCTCTTTTCCTGTTGCCCCTTGAGTTTTCTTAGCATTCTTGCCTTTCCCAGCGAGTCATGTCTTAGGATGTATCCAAAGTGAAAGACCATAGATGAATATAATCACATTTCTCTGTTTGGCATGGAAGATAGATTTTTTTTTGTAAAAAAAGAGAAAGGACCCTTTCTGCTGCTATTTTCTTATTATTTCATTTTCTTTTAGAGGAAAACTCTCAGCAAATAGCTTTGCAGTGCTGTTAATGTGTTCATTCTCAATGTATCCATGATGATAGCTTGAGAACATTTCCCTGGGTGGGGAATCTGTAAAAGGAAAGGTGGGTGCCGATTCTGTTTAGACACTGAATTTAGTCCATGCGCTCCATCCTAATTCTTTGGCAAGATCTGGGTCTCCATCATACGGGAAGTAATTCAGCAGAAATCATGATCGGGGAAAGCAACAACAAAGAAGAGAGTGGGAACAACCACACATTGGTGGGTTGGTTTCCTGATACGCCCCCCATCAGATTCACTCCACCAGATGTTTCCCAACCTTGGATCCCCAGATGTTCTTGGACTACAAGCCCCAGAACTCCCGGCCAGCACTGCTAGTGGTGAAGGCTTCGGGCAGTTTTTGTCCAAGAACCTCTGGTGACCCAAGGTTGAGATTTTATTTATTAATTAATTTTATTGGACTTCTAGCCCACCCATCTAGACCAAAGGTCTATCCTGGGCGGCACTACAAATTTTAAAAACAGCAAAGAGATCCACTGCCCAAAGTCTATGGCTGGGTTACAGATAGAAGTATTTTACATTTCCCGATCATGCAGATGAATAATAGTGTAGAGAAAAAGATTTCTCCTGCATCTTTTATCTTCTTCACTGTTCCAACAGAAAAGCATCAGTGGTAACTGCTACGTTTCCCCCCTTTCCGGTAAATCCACAGTATAGGGAACCATTGCCTAATGTCATTTGGAGCATTTAGGAAAGTTTTGCATTTCTGTAGTTCAAAAGGAGATAAATAAAGTTTTTATTCACATTGGGAAGGATCTCTTAACCACTTTTACGCCCACTAGATTATAGAAACTGATGCCAGCCCTGTGAAACATCCTCAGATTTCATTCCCAACCTGGCATCTTGCAAATGTGGCGCCTTTCTTTCTCAAAACAAAGGAAGCCAGCTGGTGTATAACAAGGAAGAAGCAAAGTACTAGAAGTACACACCTGGATTGTACTGCAAGAACAGGATACTGTACACTTCATAGATTTGTATCAGGTTGTGCGTTCTGTGCAGGAAAGCTTTATGAGATGGTAAAATGACTGATGCTAAAATATGAGTACACTCTTAAGTCTACTGGCAAAAATACAAATGGTTTGAATAATAATTAAAAAAAAAACCAGTTCCTGCTGACTTAATACTGTATAGGGATGTGATGGCCCTGCGGGTTAAACCGCAGAAGCCTCTGGGCTGCGAGGTCAGAAGACCAGCCATCGTAAGATCGAATCCACGTGACAGAGTGAGCTCCTGTCACTCGTCCCACCTCCTGCCAACCTAGCCATTCGAAAGCATGTAAAAATGTGAGTTGGTAAATAGGGACCACCTCGGTGGGAAGGTCACAGCATTCCGTGTCTAGTCGCGCTGGCCACGTGACCACAGAAACTATGGACAAATGCTGACTCTACGGCTTGGAGACGGGGATGAGCACTGTGCCCTAGACTTGGACACGACTGGACTCAGTGTCAAGGGGAACCTTTACTTAATATATCTAGGAACAATAATCACAACTGGCTGTACTCCAAAATCATCTCCTTGGTTTAGAGATTTCTCCTGGTTGCGTACTCATATTTAACTGTTAGCCATGTTATATTCCAATAAAGCCTTTTGCTTTTCTTTTTTTTTTGTACCCAGTGTGCACCCTTATAGTGGCTTGTTACAATTGCACTTTCCAACCTGCTTTTGCATCAATTCTCACATTTTTGTTAATACAGTACAGTGGTGTCGTTGTAATGCTATGGTTCCTTTCACATTTTAAGACCCCATCATCCCTAGCCCCTTCCTGTATTTGCTGAGGAATCTGGAGTTTGTAGTCCCAACAGGTCTGAAAGACGCACGGTTTGGCAAAAGCCAAACCAGTAATTGCACAAAATGCAATCCACAAAGTGCAATCCGCCGAACTTCCTGGTTCATAGGATTTCAACTAAATATCAGGAAAAACTTCCTATCCGTTAGAGCCATACAACAATGGAACCATTGACCTTCGGAAGCAGTAAGTGCTCCAACGCTGGGGGCCGTCAAGAGAAAATTGGGCAACCCTCTGTCAGATCTGCTTTGATTTGGATTCCTGCCTTGAGCAGGGGGTTGGACTGGATGGCCTTATAGGATCCCTTCCACCTACATTATTCTGTGATCCTTTAGCTCAAATTCTGGCTTTGGGTTACATCTCTCAGTGGAGGTATGCAGTAAATATCGCTCTCCTCCTTTTTAAAAGCCCCAATTACTGGCAGGACATTATTTTTATTTGAGGTTCCCTGGAACAACTGTGCTTGTTAAAAAGAAATAGCGTTATATGGGGTGGGAAATGAAAATGTCAGTGGCTCTCTGCCATGATGGCGCAAAAGCTATGCATGTACAGATGTGGACAACATTTTTACCCTGGAGCCATAGCCATGTATGGCTCCTTGGTGCATCTCTCACCGGGTTCCCTCTTCCTGGCTCATGTGACGTGGTCTGGTATATTACCTCTTCCTTTATTATTTTAACAACAACTAAAGCTTATGAGAGGCTTCTTTGTTGTATATTCACTCTTCCTACCTTAAAAAACAAAACAAAAGAAATTTGAAATAAACTCAGTCTCAAGGATCTCTTGAGTCTGAACTGTGAACATTCCTAACACCTTAAAAAATTCTTCTCTCTTGGGCTCTGCCTTTTCGAATTAATATGAAACACAGGGGAAACAGAAGGATGGACCCGTGCTTAACAGTCAGCCACATGTACTCTTTGGTTCGCAGTTTTTAAAAGCAGTTGGAGGCCTGTTTCCCCAATATACACCTGAATAAAACTCAACTTTCTTGATCTGAGTGTTTGCATGTCTGTCTTGTCTAAAACATTCATTCGTATTTAATCGCCAAGCCCCTGTGCCTTTTGTTGTGGCTTTAATTTGGGTCTGAATCAAGAGAGGAGAAACTGCAATATTTAGCTTTTCCCCCCTGTTTTATCTAACAAAAAAGAAGGATCAGTGGCACCGCATCATCCGATGTTTGAATGCAGACGTACAAGAGTGTTTGCATGTCTGTCTTGTCTAAAACATTCATTCGTATTTAATCGCCAAGCCCCTGTGCCTTTTGTTGTGGCTTTAATTTGGGTCTGAATCAAGAGAGGAGAAACTGCAATATTTAGCTTTTCCCCCCTGTTTTATCTAACAAAAAAGAAGGATCAGTGGCACCGCATCATCCGATGTTTGAATGCAGACGTACAAAAGAGA